TCGTTTCCGGTTCCGGAGGACATATCCCAACGGCTACGGCCTTGATCACGACCCCGAACATACCCCGACCAAGCTCCTTCCCGCTTACTGTAGGACAGTGTGCACCAAACAATTGGAATTTTAACACAGTTCCTATTTGCATGCTGTTTCCATGCATGTTTGCATGTTTTCATTAGAATCTACGAGCAGATAAGCCCGCGCATGCATATGTATTGAATACTTCAGCAAACTTCTAAGGAATTGTATAAAATATTAGGCTTTTGGGCAAAAGATTTGGATTATTTCACTTCCGGATCATTGCATATCGAGGATGATACTTTTGAATGTAGGAAGGTCCCTAAGGACATCATAAACTCTAACATGAGGAAACGTTGAAAGAAAAAATAGATATGGCACGCGCTGAGAAACAGGTTTGGACGCATTACATACAAACAAGCGCAGTTACGATTCCTATTTGCTAGCAAATCAATATGTGCAAACATGATCATGTGTAATCCTTTACATTTGAACACATTCGGACGCAATCAGAGACGCAAGCTACACGCATCATTGCACGTAACATGCAATGTATGAAAATAGCTAATTTTGCCTCAACTGACTTCACCCTTGCCTGGCATATCCACTTGATCGAGACAGAGGGCTTACCTAGCTTTAGCTTCTCTCTTGGGAATTCCCAATTTTTCCTGTATGGCAGAGAAGGTGCTTGTTCGCTCAGGTCCGATGAGGAAATAATTTTATCTGGTTGTCCTCTTCGAAACCGCTTCAAATCTTCATTCATCAACGCGAGGGTCCGCCCCTGCCGAATCAAAGGCACAGAGATAATGTGGTAATGAAATATATTTAATGTGCTTGACGAACCTGTTTCATCTTGCAGCGATAGCAGATGACGGAGCCTATAATGACAGCCACGATTGTAATAGATGCGGCTGAAATTACTGCTGCGAGGACTGTTCAAATGAAAAGGTTACAATGATATATACACATGAAATGAATCCATATGCAGTGGTATGTAATATATCTACTTTGCAAGGTGATCTCAATCAGCGTTTGGCCATTTTTGTTCCATCGCGCTATGAAGTTTTGAAGTCCCACTACTTCGAAAGTTTTCGGTTGATTTTGAAGTGACTTAATGGCAGTCGCCTTGACCTCGTTTTCTGAATGGAAGTGCCAACCCCATCCCACCCTCTTACGAATGGTGTTGTTACCTGAGCCGGGTATTATGTTTAATTTAAAGCCCAGGAATAGAACAATTACATTACAATATTTGATGTTCATTTGCTCAACATGACAAATCTGGTTTTCGTCCACTGCACGTTTAGCCCAGGCATGTCGTGGATCGTCGCCAACATTTGTTCTGCTATTTTAAAAATGCTCGCAGCAGTTATGGACCTTCTGATGCTACGAACACGCATATGTAGGTCATACGGTCATTTGAAACCCTACAATGACCTAAATCATTCTCTTTATTTCGTCATAAATAGTCAGTTTGGGAGATGCGCTCATTTCCGATTCGTAAAACCACCAGGAATTTATGCAGCAAACTAAAAAGGATGCAATTATTAATAACGGAATCAACTTATTTTCAGAATCCAGCCAATTTATCATTGCGAGTAATTAAGCTTATTAAGCATTTATAGGCGTTACAGATGACCCCAACATTGCAAATAAAAAATGCTATAGAACTGTATATTTTGCTGCGGCCTAAAATATTTTTTTTCATGCATAAATGCCTTTGTGCAAGTAGTTGTCAATTGTAGTATCACCTAACTTGTTGCATGTCTTTTGTTAGAAACGAACTGATACCTAGATGTGTGCGACAATTTCTCTGCAACTCATCCACGTCAAGTTTCCTCAAATTATGTCCGGACATGCATTCCCCCTCCATATGATTCCTTAATAAAGGAACGGAGGCCAGCCAAGTCAAACTGCAATCACATTGGATGGGATTGTCTGAAAAAGACGTATAATCATATAATAAGGGCAATGGTAGAACCTGATCAATAAAATGTACAATTCAGATTATGGAACTCACTCCAAATCTCCAATTTTCCGGTTCCAAAGGACATTTCCTCAAGTATGGGACGGAAAATACCCTCTTCCAATGCAGCGATCTTGTTTCCAAAGAGTTTCACCTTAGTATTTGGCATGAGACCTGCAATTAACCAAGATAATTTACTTCAGGTAAATGCTTTTCAATATTTCAAAGTGTTTATTTTTCCCGATTGCTCTTTCTTTCTCCTAATCTTCATACCGCATTAATAATGTTGCTTCTTAACCCGTACCTAACAAATATTATTATTTGCCTGATCTAGTAAAAAAAGTTTATTTTCTTTATCAATGGGATCTGTACTGCCTGAAAATTATTCAGGGAAATGGAGTAGACTTCATGTTTCGTAGCAGCCTTCAGGCTTCCCAAAATGCTTGGATTTGACTCGAAGTCTTTGTCCTTTAGATATCCCTATAGGAAACAGTCAAAATAGTTTAAGATTGGAGGAACATGGTGGCCATGCCAACACGGTGAAAGTTATGTTAGACTTCCTGCACTATAACGTCGGTACCAGAATGCTGTCAAGCAGATTCCCAGATATCCATACCGGTGGGTTAATATGGTCACTATTACTCCCCCCCCCCCCTTCCCTAGCCTCAATGCATGTGATTATTTCCTATGGGATACCTAAATGACAAAGTATTCAAGTCATAGCAGATTCCCAGATATCCATACCGGTGGGTTAATATGGTCACTATTCCTCCCCCCCCCCCCCTTCCCTAGCCTCAATGCATGTGATTATTTCCTATGGGATACCTAAATGACAAAGTATTCAAGTCAAATTCATGCACTTCGGGAGACCAGAAGGCGGCCCCAAAACGTGAAGTCTATTCCATTTCCTGGTATAATTTGCAAAACGTAGTGCAGAAATATACCACACGTCTATGACATGTGATTACGCGCAGAGGATGGCTCATCGAGCATTCTTTTTCGTGGAGAATACTATTCCTATGTTCATGGATTATCAATGCAAAATTTCATGTATCTAACGTCATTAGTTTAAAGATGATGAATATATAAAATGGTCGGATGAATAAAAAATCACCCTGCTGAATGTTCTTTCTTGGAGTACTCCGATATTTATTGCGTTTTAGGAGCCATTCCTGAAAGAGAAGTTCCATTTCCGTTTGAGATCGCCAAAATCCCCACTCGGGCTCAGATATTGTATATTGTGCTGCATTTAAACCAGCAGCCTTGCATAATTTGGCATGGTAGTATATCTTTCCAAACAATGTAGGTAATTTATCGTTATACTAGTCGGAAGCGCGTGTACACACGAATAGATAAGACAGCGAATTTCGATTTTGTTCCCATAATGACGATTGCTGGCAAAAATATTCTCCAATAGAAAATAACCACATTGAACGTACTTGGTAATTGCCCCTAGGCCTAGCCCATGCCTAATGTATTCTTTACCACTGATCTTGTTGGGAATCTGTCTCAATTGCTCAGCGTAAGCAAGAGCGTTCGGCCTCGGCCCTTGGAAGTTAAGATTCACATCATAAATATGACTCTCACGCGTAATTCGCTTTCTCCTAGAACCATCGGCGCAAGGGCGTTATCCAGCTTTTTCTCTGCCGCTAATTTTGTGCCATGAAGATGGAATTATTTTTCTCAGGAAAAAATTGACCCGTAAGGGCCCAGAGGGACGGAACTAAAACTTCATCAGGCAGACATGAGCATACGCGATTTCAGTCGCAACGATATCTTATGTGGCATTATTATATTATTGATAAGCTAACCCATTCGACCAAAAGGTCTGGGCATGTTTGAGCGATGGTTGATTTTTTCATATGCCTAAGAAATTACAGCGATGGGAATCTTGCTTAAACAACAAGACCTATGCATTTGACTCGTAAATATCGCTATTTCTATTATATGCTCCCATTAAACAAAAAATGTCAATATTCAATTCATTAATGGATTTCCAAACGCCATGATTTAGTCGGTATCTTTAACGCATGCATGAATGTACATTTCAGAAGATACAGACCTCAGAATGGAGTTGTGTTCCTTCAAAGTGTAATATGGCTGTAACCAAGCATAATGTGGCTGTTGCATATGTCAAATGGCAGTGTTCGTGCCTATAATAAATCTAAATACCAAGCCTGTCAATTTATGTACATTGACATTTGACATACGAGGGGCGGTATAAAATTATTTATAATTTGTTTACCATTGCACAACCGTATATGCTACTGAACTGTCAACAATATTCAGTGCAATGTTCGGTATCTGCCACCACGTAGTGGCCGTTGCGAATACGAACTCCAAGTCCAGTCATTGTGAGAATAAGAGATTGGCACTGCGTTGATGATAGGCAAGGACAAGTATGAAGGCACACAAGATTGGGCAGCGATGAACTATTTGATTTCTGCAGCAGGAAGGTGCTGTGACCGACGATATCGTGAGAAGGTGCAAATAATATGCGGTGAACATTCACAATCTGCCCAGATGGTTTACAAATCGTGTGATATTTTAAGACTGGGATAAACGGGACCAGCTGAGGCAACCTGCACTGGTCGTCCCAGCATGACAACGCTTGCCCATGCACAAGGAAGCAAGCTACATAAAGAATATGGAGATTCGGGTCAGACAGTCCAGCATCGCTCTTACTCCATATTATTGTCCCCAACAGTTATTGATTATTTGCCAGCTTTAAGGTGCCATTGTGCGACGGCATTTTGGCACCAGAGATGTTCTACAGAAAGCAGTTCCGCGTGGGTGCAGAACAAACCAAAACAGTGTTTTGGAAATTGTCACCAGAAACTCCCACATCATTGAAAAATGAGCATTGGCTTTGGGGGGAGGGGTATGGTGAGATGCTCCATTGCCAAAACCTGGGTTGCATCACGCGTATATGTGCGAGTGCGACATTTAGAAGGCAATCAGACCGCCCGAGTAATATATCAAAGGAAGGCGCTTGGAGAGAGCTTTCATTTGACCCTAGTTACAAGTTTATATCTTTTGTTTAAAACAGGAAGTGCGATTCAAATTTAATTTTATGTTGTTTCAAAAAACGTAGAAAGTTGAAATTTAGTTCTTAAATTGCCATTGCCTTAGTCTACAATGGTGCGAACGGTCGTGGTGTTATAATGCTTCTTAGTGCTAATAATTTTCGAGCAAAATTCTGCAATATTTACAATTTTGGATATTGCATAACTCAATTTCTTATAAGCACTCTAGAGAATGCATTTAATAATCCGATTCTACATGGTCTCAGCTTTAATTAAGAGTCCAAAAACGCGTTTTTATCTTGACTGGGACCAAAGATAGCTCTTTAACCCTAAAGGCCACTTTTCCTCTTGGAGGCGAAGTTTGGGGCCGCATATCTGGAGATCCGTTAGAACCAGAGAGCCAGAATTTTGGATTTTTTCATAAGTCTTCATTGGCTGCATGAACTAGCTTTTTTTCTCAAGCAAATCGGATTCTAAAGCCCAACCACCCCTTGATTACTTAAGCTGGAATGACTCAGCACTTAGCATGTAAAGATGAGACTTTTATGCAAATAATCAACAAGAAGCAATATATTGCATGACACATTATGTGAATTCTGCGAGGCACGCTTCTGCGTGGAAGAGTTCAGTAACTCCCATCCATAATTCGAATCAGAATGTATACCTTTGATCGCTCCCAGCTCCATTCGAGAGATGTTGTGATTGAGAGCCACTAATTTCAGGGCATCACTGCGAAATTCCAACAGGCCGCTAGAAAGGGTAGGGCCCAGGGAACACCCTGAACAAAAGAATTTCTCTAGTTTCTCGAGGCTCACGATAACTCTGAACGGCAACTTCGGGAGGCGATTATAACCTGTATGTGATGCGAAAAGGATCATTGTCAGATAAGGAAGCAAATATTCTGCATGCTTCAACTGCTTTCTAGTACTTTTTAAACCTATTCTCCATATCTGATTACTTTTCATTCTTCAATAACGAGTGTCTCCTAAGTTCTAACTACAGCTACAGTATGTCTGCCCTTCAACTCATGGCCAGATGATTCATCGACATTTTACGCCCGGTTTTCAAAATGCGATAACTCCAATTAGTGTTCGTTCGCACTGTGCACTACAGCGCTGTACCACAAATGTAAAACTACTGCTTTGGAATCAGATAAGTCCATGTGGAGTGTACCTTTCCCTCAAGAATTCTCAGGCGAGAATTGGCAGCAGCAACGAAGAGGTCGAAAATTACGGTCAGGCAGCCTTTAGATCGGACATATAATTCGTGTGATGCGTCTTTCCTTAATTTGAACGACTTAAGCTTAATTCATGCTGGACAGCGTTACAGGCACACCATTCCTGAGTGATGCAAAACATATATATGGAAGCCTTGAAGGTGAACTTTCGCTTTTCCGGTAACTACGGAATGATTCTGGAGATTCGGTGAAGGACTGCTTCCTCACGCATACAGTAACAAGAAAAAAGTGTCCAAGAAGGAGATGCCCATTTTTATATCTTGAACAACTAACATGTAAAAACTTTTAGTCGAAACGTATATGGGATTAGAAGAGTGGTCTTTAAAGTGTTATATAGTATTCAACTAATCCACATGTATATGCCCTCATTGATGACCCTTTTTTTCTTCCATGCAAACCATGTCACGTTATCAGAGTTTCAAGGAATGGCGTAAGAGGGCGGTGTGCATGGAATTTTATGAAAGCTTGGTGATATAGAGAATACCAAGAATGAAGACTGAAAGTTCGCGCCTGTTTAGTGCATTCAAGTAAAAGGGTACCTCTTTCAAGGACACCCTGTATTGGTATTTCAACTTATACTTTTTACACATACAGCCTTCCCTATCTCAGAGCCATTTCATGTTTTGAGCTGAACTTTCAGCAAAAATGTGACCCTAGCCAGATAAGGAAACCAGAGAAAAGAAATGAAATTCCAAGAAGGAAAGATGAAGCTGTACCACATGCCGTATCCTCACCGATGTTTAGGTACTTCAAGTTGGGTGTCGACCATCCATCTTCTTCCAGTGTCTCTATTTTATTGCCCGAGAGGCTGACCATCTCCAGGCTATTGCTCTTGAGGGCCGGGACCTTGCTCAATAAAGAATCGTGTATGTAAAGTTTTTTCAATAGTGGAAACAATGAAATAACATCGAAAGGAAACTCTTCCAGGAGACCCTTCTGAATGATCAGATTCAGTTCTGTCAGAAATCTTTTCTCCTACTGGCTTCCTACCTAGAGAAAGTGCTTCCACAATGAGTCCCTATAAAGGACCTTTCTCTCCAAGGGTTCCCTCGGAAGTCCGTCGAGGAAGTGAGCTTGCAAGTTTTCTATGCTGAATTTCCTGTAAGGAAAAAATGGAGAAAACATTACTCAACTCATTTTATCATTTTACCACCTTTAAACACCCAGGAGTCCATCTGCGTTATGATCTAGGTACAAGGTGTGACGATTAAGTTCCAGGACGGAGTTTCTTACAAGTACGGCGATATCACAAAAAGGCGTTAACATGTTATGGACAGACACGAAGGTATTAAACTGTTGAGTTCTATTGTCTAAGTCCTCATCTAACTAGTATCGGAAATGGGAGATCGGGTGGCAATGTAGCAACTCGGTATGGGAAGTGTATGTTGTATTTTTCGTGAGGGAGGCTATGCTTTATCAGGTTTTGTGTTAAATAGGAGAATACAGTAGCAGTAATCCATGAAATGTTCCCTTAAGTGCATTAACATGTTGCCTTGTCATGCTTCAAGAAGTTACGATGGTTTTCAAGTCTATCACCATGTAGGGTATATATTTTTAGAGAAATTTGATCATTATTCGCTCCTCCTGTTGCAAGTCAGTCACGTTAGTCGTTGCTATCCTTAGTTACGGTCGATGCTGCAGCACGTAGTTTATATTTCTACCAAAAATATTCCAAGAGGCTTCTTACACACATCCTCTAAGAACGAACATTTTATCGCTTGAAGGTGGCGTACGATATTGTGTCATTAAAATCTATGAATTGCATCACACACTCCTGTTGCATACCTCTATTTATTAAAAGATAAAGGAGGTTGTACTTTCCTACGGACCCCCATTGATTTCAATGTCTACCATTTCCTTCGGAATCTCTCCTGATGCTGAACAGAATAATTGGCATAAATGTTCACGAAAAAAATACATATTTTCCAAGCTATTAGGGAAAAAAATTAGCACAAGAGGAATTAAAACATTTTCCATTTCATTCCTATTTTTCGGCAGAAATATAATTTTGTGCTCTCCTCTCCCCAACTTGTGGTGGTAAACCTGAAGGTACCAACAAAGTTGAACAAATTTATTAAGCTAATAACCAAACTAGTGAAAGTGCTAGTGCTATCGAAATAGACACGAGGATAGAAAAACCAATTAAATTGCATATACAGTGATTTAATCCCTGATTCTTACTAATTTCAGCGTTCTATTTGCCCTAACGTATTACGGGGACATCACCTTTGAGGCTGTAATTACCACGATAACAGGATTCACAAGTTTCTTTTTTTTTTGCATGGTCACGAGAGGCAATGAATCACCCTGACAGGGAAATTGCGTTCTATCCCCGTAGCCCCCTATTGCATCCTGGAGACCACCTTCGAGGTGGGAATCTACTAATTGACTAGACCTTTCTAACGACCTACATGTCGACGGGGGTTTGGTTTGCGACTTGACATCTATGCAGACAATAATAAAAAAGAACCCAAAAAGTTGCCCTCCTTTCCTACATATGCCAAGTCTGATACCAAATGTTTCCGCGCTACGGTAAAGAGAGACTGGATATAATTACTTTAGAGGATAGAAATATCACTACCAATGTTGTGTCGAGGGCCAAGCGGTGTTTTTCAATGCCGTCGAGATATTCGCACTCGTACTGGCATTCGAACAATTTAGTACCACATTGCCATTGAAAATATTGCAGGTGCAGGGCTGTTCCACATGGATCTTGCATACTTCAGCTTTCCCAAACACCAAGAAGAGTGAATAGAGGAGAGAGGTGAATAATGGAATCGACATGAGATTCGAGGGAGGAATATAGCAAGGAATGGGCATTTTTCGGAGTCGTCGTAGTTCTGTCCTCTTAGCTGATGGGATTACTTCCACCTGAGGATAAGAGAAAAGGTATTTGTTAGTTTTAAAGCAAGAAACTAGATCGCCGAGATGTTTGGCAAACATAAGAATGCAATTCACAATCGCAATTGATATCTTCCATGTCCTTCCCTGAAAATCCTGTCGAGAATATATGCGGTTCCTAATGAGGCAGCACGTCACACGTTACGTTAATCAATATATTGTACAATATATATATATATATATAGATTGAATTTGAAGAAGACTGTAATGTTCCTCCCAGCCAAAGCCACCCCACGGCAACAGGCAGGAAATGCCCAGCCTCTAGCCCAGGAGAAGAGGGCAGAAAACCATTGAATCCTGGAAATAACTATGTCAAAATAGNGGGTACCTCTTTCTAGGACACCCTGTATTGGTATTTCAACTTATACTTTTTACACATACAGCCTTCCCTATCTCAGAGCCATTTCATGTTTTGAGCTGAACTTTTTGCAAAAACCAGATAAGGATAAGGAAACCAGAGAAAAGAAATGAAATTCCAAGAAGGAAAGATGAAGCTGTACCACATGCCGTATCCTCACCGATGTTTAGGTATTTCAAGTTGGGTGTCGACCATCCATCTTCTTCCAGTGTCTCTATTTTATTGCCCGAGAGGCTGACCATCTCCAGGCTATTGCTCTTGAGGGCCGGGACCTTGCTCAATAAAGAATCGTGTATGAAAAGTTTTTTCAGTAGTGGAAACAATGAAATAACATCGAAAGGAAACTTTTCCAGGAGACCCTTCTGAATGATCAGATTCACAAGACAGTCTTTAGAAAAGAGGATGACCGAAGGATGGATCTCTTTCACGAAGGTGTTACTCAGGGATATTTCCTGGAAAGAGAGGTTCCCAAGGGAGCCTTCAGGCAGCTCCTTCACTCGAACGTTATTTTCTATACTGAATTTCCTGCAAGGAAAAAATGAAGAAAACATTACTCACCTCATTTTATCATTTTACCACCTTTAAACACCCAGGAGTCCATCTGCGTTATGATCTAGGATTATACAAGGTGTGACGATTAAGTTCCAGAGCGGAGTTTCTTAGAAGTACAGCGATATCACAAAAAGGCGTTAACATGTTATGGACAGACATGAAGGTATTAAACTGTTGAGTTCTATTGTCTAAGTCCTCATCTAATTAGTATCGGAATTGGGAGATCGGTTGGCAATGTAGCAACTCGGTATGCGAAGTGCATTTGTACTTCCAGAGGGAGGCTATGCTTTATCAGGATTTATGTTAAATAGGAGAATCCAGCTGCAGTAATCCATAAAATGTTGACTTAAGAGTATTGACATGTTGCCTTGTCATGCTTAAAAAAATTACAATTTTTTTCAAGTCTATCACCATGTAGAGAATACATTTTTAGAGAAATTTGATCACTATTCGCTCGTCCTGTTGCAAGTCAGTCACGTTAGTCGTTGCAATCCTTAGTTACCCCCGATGCTGCAGTACGTAGTTTATATTTCTACCAAAAATATTCCAGGAAGCTTCTCACACACATCCTCTGAGAACGAACATTTTATTACTTGAAGGTGGCGCACGATATTGTCATTAAAATCCATTAATTGCATTACACACTCCTGTTACATGCCTCTATTTATTAAAAGATAAAGGAGGTTGTACTTTCCTACGAACCTCCACTAATTTCAATGTCTACCATATCCCCTGAATCTCTCCTGATGCTGAACAGAATAATCGACATAAATGCTCCCGAAAAAAATACATATTTTCCAAGCTATTAGGGGAAAAATTAGCACATGAGGAATGAAAACATTTTCCATTTCATTCCTATTTTTCGGCATAAATATAATTTTGTGCTCTCCTCTCCCCAACTTGTGGTGGTAAACCTAAGGGTACCAACAAAGTTGAACAAATTTATTAAGCTAATAACCAAAGTACTGAAAGTGCTAGTGTTATCGGAATTGACACGAGGATCGAAAGACCAATTAAATTGCATATAAAGTGATTTAATTCATAATACCTACTAATTTCAGCGTTCTATTTGCCCTAACCTATTATGGGGAAATCACCTTTGAGGCTGTAATCACCACGATAACAGGATTCACAAGTTCCTTTTTTTTTGCATGGTCATGAGAGGTAATGAATCACCCAGGGAAATTGCGTTCTATCCCCGTTGCCCCCTATTGCATCCTAGAGACCAACTTTGAGATGAGAATCTACAAATTGACTAGACCTTTCTAACGACCTACATATCGACGGAGGTTTAGTTTGAGACTTGACATCTATGCAGATAATAACAAAGAACAAAAAATGGGCACCCCCTCCTTTCCTACATATACCAAGTCTGATACCAAATGTTCCCGCGCTACGGTAAAGAGAGACTGCATATAATTACTTCAGAGGATAGAAATATCACTACCATTGTTGCGTCGAGGGCCAGTCGGTGTTTTTCAATGCTGTCGAGATATTCGCACTCGTACTGGCATTCGAACAATTTAGTACCACATTGCCATTTAAAATATTGCAGGTGCAGGGCTGTTCCACATGGATGTTGCATACTTCAGCTTTCCCAAACACCAAGAATAGTGAATAGAGGAGAGAGGTGAATAATGGAATCGACATGAGATTCGAGGGAGGAATAAAGCAGGGAATGGGCATAATTCGGAGTCGTCGTAGTTCTCTCCTCTTAGCTAATGGGATTACCTAAGGATAAGAGAAAGGGCATTCGTTAGTTTTAAAGCAAGAAACTAGATTGCCGAGATGTCTGGCAAACATAAGAATGCAATTGGTTATCGCAATTTATTTATTCCATGTCCTTCCCTTAAAACCCGATGGAGACTATATGGGGTTTGCAGCACAATACACCATATGTTATTACTCTCACAAAAGCCACTTTTACTACCTTGTTTATGCGAATGCATGAAATTATTTCAAAGGAAGTTACGAATTTGCTTCACTTATGTTCCGTTAGCTGTGTAGATAATCCGTTACCAACTTTTCCTCGCAACAAGACTGCACGAATAAATTCAAGCACAGACCGTCACTCGCTGCGCAAGATCCACAAAGTCAGATATAGGAGAGAACGAAGAGAGAATAGTTTGCAGCATTGCCCATGGCAGCGGCAAGTCCTCCGACATCCACAGGAACCAGTAATAGGCACGAAGTATCCACGGTGGGGCGACAGATGCCCATTGGAAGTGGAGCCTGAAGCATGAGAATATTTTTCGGAGGTTCACGCACTAACCCACACCATATCTCATCGCACAGTGGAGGGTGAAATGCTGATGTCAGGCATGGAAAAGCCTCAGGACACTCTCTCAAAATGCTGACTCGCGTCGAACCTGCCACAACTCATTTGAAAGAGGGATCTCTTCGAGCACGAAAGCAGAGGGTTGTGTTATCAATGAGTGCGAAGGCGACACGTGAGCAAATAATCACAATTCATTAGTGCATACAGAAGATGGACAGGTTGCTTGAAATTATTGAATATTCTCCGTACTTTTTTAACCGACGGTTTTGGAAGCATTTTCTAGTTCTAAACAGGAAAAATCGTACACTTTAATTCGAAGAGACGGGGAATTGTTGTGGTGGTGGTTGTCACCCCAGCGCGCAACGCCTACAACACAATGTCACTTCAGTCTATAGGCTAGGCCATCGAACCCTCAAAGCGCTTAGTCCTTGAGGTTAGGCTATTATAGGCCAGAGGCTTGGCCAACTAACGCTTTTAGCGCCTAGTCCATCGAGCTATATCAGTCTGAGCCATCCACATCTAATACGGTCGCTATGGTCGCGTCTTCCGCGCTCCATTACCTTGGATTTTATTTAATTCATTTATCCTTTGCGAAAAGGCAAACACGTCCCTATTGAAATACATGACATATGGCGACGAAAGACTTGATTTTTTCTCGAAATCATTACTTCCATAATTTCTAGTGTGCCTAACTTGAAATCTTTTCCTGTGTCCCTTTATGTAAGGGTGGAGAATTCATTTTGAAATACTTCCCTCCAATAATCTACGCTAAGGATACATATTTCAAAAGTAGGATTTTTGCTATACTCAGCCATCAAATAGGTACTTCTTAGGGAAGTTTAACTTTTCTGTCATTGTTTCGTCGGACCAAATAAATTTTCAGGAAAATGCTACTGAAAAAAAAGTATTCTGATTGGTTTTAACGGAAATTTTTTTTTATTCTGAAATGTTGACTCGGGGAACTCCATGCCACCCAATTTCAGCCGCATACGTTTCCCCTTTTTGCTGGCGGAAAAAAAAGAATTTGGAAAAGCGACACACCAAAAAGCTGTGCTCTGAGGAGAAGCACACGAAAATGTGAATTCTTCCTTAAATCAATCATGAAATTTGACATTTGACATATGAGCTCAGTGCTTCCCCAGTGACGTTCTTGCCAATTTACAGCTTCCCATATGTCTTTGTTTGATTGAAGCAAAGAGAACTATTCCCCGTAAAGGTGTTCCCCTATGGCATGTACAGGGTGTCCGAGAATTGTCTGGACAACTTTTTCACTAAATAAATTATCGATGAAGAGGTGTAAAAATGCCCATGTTGTGTCATTTCATAGAGAAACCTATTAAGTTTATTATGTGTAACTGTTATTTTGTTTGTACAAAAAGTTTTTTCCAAAATGTTGATTTTCATAAAAACAATTTTTTTTAGATAAAATTTGAAAATAAATGCACAGGAAAAAGTTTACAAAATATACTTAAGATAAACGTTCCCCCCAAAATTTGTACCCCCAGGGCATGAACCTCCAAAGTCGGATTTTTTTTCTGAACTCTGCATCCCAAAAGGTACATGTGTACCGAGTTTCAGATGTCTAACCCTTCTAGAACATGGTTAGAATTAGCGTCAGTCAGTCACGATCGTCTATATATGTATTAGAAAAGCATAATTTTTTCTTTGCTCTGCTGTTCATCTGCTTATTTTTTTTTTAACAAGTTTAAACTTTCTAGTGCCCTCTGTTTTGTTGGATCCAGAAAATACGCCTTTTGCAATATATATGTCCCCTCAGGCGTTTTAACCTAAAGGTACCGTCATTATTGTTATTTTTTCTTACCGAAATCAATCCTCAGAGAACTACATGACCACAAAGTGTCAACATTATACGCTTGCCATTTTCGCTGGTAAAAAACATGTTTGAAAAAGCCGACTCACCCAAAAGCCATGCCAGGATGGGATGCACCATTAAAGCTGAATACTCCCTCGACTCAATAATAATAAAATTATGTCATTCATACGAGTGAAAAGTTTCACCTTTCCATTTCTGTCCAATGCGCCGCTAAATAATTTTTCTTAAATATCGTCCTTCGAAATAATTCCACATATTGAGACCTAATATTTTTCTATAATTCCTTGTTTCAGTAGTCACATTCATAGAAAGTTTGAGCTTTCCATGTTCATCAGTTTCACTCCAAATGCAACGTATTGGACGTACTCCTGCCGAAGCCAAATCGGATGGAATCGAAAGGGAACGAAGCAGATGGACGACTGCCGTCCGAAGTCCGGCAGTCCGGTTTCCCCCGATGGGATATTCCTGGATTATTCTTAACTTGGTTTTTTTTTCTTTTTGTAATTTCTCAATTTAAAAAAATTTCCTCTTTTTTTAATTTCACGAAGACTTTCTGAAGCGTGCGTCTTCCTTCTCCAAGAACGAGAAAGAAAAAAGGCTTTAAGTACGATGGCAGTTGAAAAGAAAAAAGAAACATCACACGACATGAATACAATTGGTAAAGGCGGAGACCAACGGGGAACGAATTCGCGGGACGTTACGCTAGCAGCACGAAGTCAATCTCCGCTTTCTTCCTCTTCCGCGATTTTCTGCGAGGCGCTGTCGACGCTTTCTGGAATTTCCCTGGAATTTTGAATTCCAGGGAGATTCCATGCGCAGGGGGAAGTTATTTATCGACGGGATTTTTGGATGCTCCTTTGAAAATTCCCGGAGAAAGACACAAAATCCCACAAGATCGT